AAATCGAACTCGAAACTAATATATTAGACTTTACTCTAAGAGTATAAATCGGATAAAAGGATAATAAAGGAAGACTACGACTAATTATATTCTACTCGAAAAAGCTATATAGCGTAGAACTTAATTACCCTATCTACGATAAAGAATTCCTTATAATTATTTAAGCTTTTAAGGAATTTCGATACTACCTTCTTAGAAGTAAGTATAAAGTTAAGGTCTATATAGATTATAAAAATATCTTATACTTTATAATAATATAATAGTTAAACGGACGATAGATCTAATAGGTAGAATACTTATTAGAATTCGACTATAAAATAATCTATAGAAAAAGAATAGAAAATAGTTAAGCTAATACCCTTAGTCGACGAAGTAACTATAATATAAGAGTACCTATAGCGAAAGGATAGCTCCTAGTAATTAACGAAAACGGGAACTACTAGTAACGATAGCTAAATATAATATTTAAAGTATAACCTAACGACTTAATATACTAAAAGATCCTAAAATAGATAAAAGAATATAAAGTACTAAATAGATATAATATAGAATATTTAAAAGTTCTAATTTATAAAAATAAAATCTAGATACTACTAGAATTATAAGATAAAGTTATATAAGATATATATATAAATATCTAATATATAGATACTAAGGAATCTAAAGAATAATAGAACGGATTAAACGATAATATAACTTCCTATAGCTTAAAGAAGTAGTACGATAAGTTATTAAAGAATATAAACTTTACGTACGAAGTAAAGCTAAACGATATAAACTATATAGAGAATTATAACCGCTATTAGTACTAAAGAAACTATAGGATTTAATAGCTTTCGACTATATTATAAAGCTACTACCGTTAAAAGAACCTATAACTAACGTTAAGTATAATAGTATATTTATTATTACTAATAGACTAATAAAGTATAGGTACTTCTTACTATATAAAGAAGTAAGTAATATAAAAGAGCTAGTATATATATTCCTATAAACTATTATTAGTAATTATAGACTACTAAATAAGATTATCTTTAATAAAGGAAGTATATTTATAGCTAAATTTTAGTAAGCTCTTATAGTATAATTAGGGACGAAATATAAGCTTAGTATAGCTTATTACCTATAAATAGATAGATAAATAAAACGACTTAACTAAACGCTTAAATAATATTTACGATACTATATTAGCTACGAATAAAACGATTAAGTTAAATAGCTACTAATAACGTAACTAGCTTATAATAGCTTAGTTATAGAAATAACTAAGCTCTTACTAGTATACGCTAATTATAGATATAACCTAAAAGCATTTAAGGTTACTTAATAAAGACTATAAGTAGAACGAGCGATACTATAAGTAGATTAGCTATGAAAATTATATAAAGAAATATAATAAGAACTTTAATTTATTAGAGAACGAATATCTACTTACTATAATTAGAAAAGATTATAAGGACTAATCTTTTAAGAGGGAGATATAGTCTACCTTATACGACGAAATATTAAAATAAAATAACTAAGTAATAAATTAGATTTTAAGAAACTTAGACCGTTTAAGGTTAAGAAAACTATTTTAAAAGTTAACTATAAACTTTTACTCCTAATAATAATATAGATATACCTAATATTTTATATCTTACTATTAGAACTAGTACTATAAAATACTAAACTATAGGAAAAAATTAAAGTTAACGATAATTAAGAATATAAAGTAAAATAAATACTAGATATAAGAAAATAAGGTTAGTAATAAGAATACCTTATTAAGTAAAAGGGATATAGACTAGAGGAAAATACCTAGGAACTACTTAAGCACTTAACCTACTATAGTTCTCTACTTAGATAGTTCTACTAAGCGAACCCTTACTTAGAAATATAAGGTTACTAAGAATAGTATCCTAGTCTAATATATCTAAGGCACTAAATAATTAAACCTCGCTAATAGTAATAGTTTCCTTATTTAATAAATAAACCGATTCGTCTTAAGAAGAACGCGTTATACTATCTTCTTTATTAATAGCTTATATACCCCGCTAAAATAACTTACTACCTTAGTCCTTTAGGAAACGCTTCTATTTCCTAATCCGAGCTAGGTAAGCTATCGCTTCCTTTAACGCTTCTTTTACTTTCCGTTCGTTTAAATTAATCTTTTACTATTAATTTATAATATAATAAACTAGAAAAAGAAGGAATATTAGTAAAAAAGAATAATAAGGAAAGAAAGAGATAAAACGAATAGGCGGACGCTATATTATACCTATTATAAGAACGGCCTATAGAGGTATATTTAGAATACCGATTAAAACGCTCGCCGACTTTATAAGTTAGGCCTAACCGAAAATAATAGGAGCAAGGTATAATTTTAATACTATAGATCTCGGTCTAAGATACTAGCTCCGATCGTTAATGCGATTTATCGGAATTACGAGAATAGGATTTTTAAATATAACTAGATATACTATTAGTAGTATATCCTAAAAGAATAAAAGAATAAGGAACGATATACTTACGCACGACGCGATAAGGGTATATTTATATACGGCGGCTAAGGTAGTAAGTCTTAAGGGCAAGACTAAAAGGAGGGGAGGCATCCTATTATAACTACGGTCTATTAAACCGCGGGGACTAGTATATATTATAAGGATATATAATATAGGGAGCAAGGAATATTAGATAGACCGATAGGCTAATTAAGTTTAGAGCGACGGGTTACTCTAGCGCTCTAACGCTCTACGGCTAGATCGTAGGATCGCTCTAGCGCCCTAGCGCTCCTAGGCGACGGGATCACTAAGTGCTCTCGGCGATCTAGGGAAGCTCTCGAGATATATAAAGAAGGAACGGAACACTCCTTTAAATAGATAGCTCGATAGCTTTTAATATAGATCTTTATTACGATTCTATCTCTAATTCTAATTACCTAGTTATAGTCTATAGTCTACGACCTCCGACTTATTACTAACGTAATATACTTATTATTACTTAGACCACGCCCTATTATATCTACTAATATAAACCCCTCGATAGGTTTATCCCTTAGGAATAATACCGGTCGTTATACTCGACCTTCTACTTATCGTTATTATTACTAAATTTAACTATATACTTAAGGCCGCCGCGTTAAAAGTAATCGATAAAGGCCTAGGTTATAGTCTTACTACTAAGGGCCGCGGCACCGATCTTCTAGCGGTCGTTATATATATCTTACTAGCGGAAGAAGCTCTCTTTAGTAGAGTCCTTAATAATCGAGGCTATCTCGTAAGCTAGGAGGGCACGATACTTAGAAAGGCTTCTCTCGAGCTCTTACTATACTTAGGTTCGGCGGCGATAGACGTTATAAGCTAAAGGGTCGATTAATTGCCCGTAGTTATATTAACTATCGTTAACGCGAAAAGTCTACTTCTAGTAGGATCTCTTTATTATTGATGCGATAATCCTAACGGGGCAGTTAAGCTTCTATAAGGAAGCTTTACAAAGGCCGCTGCTTAATAAAGCTCGTTAGAGGCTACGATTATAAATAAATATAACGTATATAGGTAAGACCTACCCGTTAATCTCACGCTTGCGTGAGCTAGAGCTCTTAACGATAGCGGCGCTATGACTGCGATAGAAGCTCTAGAGGAAGTCGTAGAGCTCGTTAAAGGAGTCAAAGGTTAGCGAGGGCGGCAGAGGTAGAATTGGCAGCCCGACGAGCTCTTCGGCAGGCTCTTCGGCAGGCTCGTTGAGGATAAATCGTAGGTCCATCGCGAATAGCTTCACTTTGCAATGTAGGTGGGAAGGGCAGATTTCTCCCTTAGCGGGGCTTTACGCTACGCTTGGCGCGGCTCCCTCCTTTGCCACGTTAGTGCAGCTAAATTGGGTGGCGGGGCCTGGGCGGGCGGGGTACGCGCAGAAAAAGTGGATTGTCTGTGCAAATAGAGACTTTTGTCTGTGCAAATAGTAATACTCATTGAAATTTAGCAGATTTTCGAGCGCGTGTTAAACAGCGCGTACGTCGCCGCCAACCAGTGCCATGCCGACACCACCGAGTTGTTCGAGATCGAGCGCAAAGAGGTCTATGTCACGACCACGATGCCGTTCTAGGGGTTGATAGAGCCGAACACGTGGGCCCGGGACAAGGCGTGGTGGAAGACGTTGATATCGATTTAGAAGCGGATAGAGTCATGGGGGCAGAGGGGGAGCGGTGATAGAGAGAAGGAAGGCAGCGAGGACGAGAAAGGTGACGAAAGCGAGGGAGGGAGTGTTTCCACGGGCGAGAACGCCGAAACCGGCACGTCCGACGGCGAGAGTCCGGGTCGACGGCCGCCATAGCTTTGTATACATTAACACAGGCATTTCCTGTTTCCGAGACGAGGCCTTCTTCACCCCCAATGGCCACAGCATCAAGTGACACCTCGTGACGTTTCTCAGTCGTTGGTTCAAGATCCGTCACCGTGTTCATTACTCATCATCGGGCAACCACGTAAGAGCCTGTTGCCGGGGGATAAAAGCCCTGTCGCCCCCGTTCATGACGACGTCCAAATTCGCGTCCGTCCGCCCATGCTTAACGACGCAGGTTTTGCAACCGTACTCGTCGAAGCGGCATCCTCGGGGTCTGCGTCCAATGAGCACCGACAACTAGGAATACATCGATAAAACAACCAAATCCAGCCCCAGCAACCCGCGGCGTCGTAGAAAACATCACAAAGCGAGTGTTCGCTTATCGGGTCAAGGTCACTTGACAAGCGAGTAAGGCCGCTGCTGAGTCTCGCTGTCTGCCACCTGGAGACACCCGTCAACACAAAGTCGATGGGGTCAAAAACGGAAGTATGCCCCCAGGGAGTTGCGTCTCCTCGAGACGCGTAATCATCTAGGGACATCACACCTCGACTGTCCTGCCGTCGGGTGTTTCAGATCTTCCAAACGAGGCAAGTGGCATCAGAAGCGGGCTTAAGGCGGTCAGTTGAAGCTGTCCGTATACACGTGTATACGGCCTTAAAAACATAGATAGACATGTAGCCTCATTGGCATCTCCACATGAAGTACTCAGCGAGAATCTCAAACTCGTGCGCGAAATTCTCCATGACCTTGTCCGCCCAGCCTCCACTCCTCCACTCGTGGGACCTCTCTACAGCACAGAGAAGCTTGAAGTATTCCCAAAATTCGGGGTACCACCCAGCGTGCTCCCAATCAATCAACCCGACTATCTTGAAACTGCCAGGCGCACCCTGGACCAGAATATTTCCGAGATTAATGTCTCCGTGCGCAAAGGTGATTTCGCCCTTGTCTGGCAGCACCAGGCCAACTTCTGCATACTGGCCGTAATCGACACCTGCGGGGCCGGGCCTCTGACGGGTGGCAGCTGCAAAGACCCAGTCGTTGAATGCCTTTATGCTGTAAAAAGGGCCCTTCTCATAGTCGAGCCTAAAGTATCTGTCCTGCACTGCACCTCCATTGATGGAGCCTGCGAGTAGGATTAGCCGCCATCGTCAATGATACTCTGGAACCACGCAGGCCTCTTTACCGATCCATGGACCTGATGGACTTTGCCGCAAACGTTTCAGAGCATTCGCGATTTGTCTTAGCTGGGCAGTGACGTTTTCCTTGTCAAAGTTGGTTAGGGACGGCCAGACGGTATGAAGATTGTCTCCAGATATCAGGCTCATATAAATGAAGACGCGGTCATCGAGTTTCCGCCACCCAAAAAGCTCCGGCACAGGGACTTGGTTGTCCGGGAAGGCATGCTTAACGGCCCACATTGCCTGCGCCTCCTCTAATCTGAGCCAGTTCTGATGCCCAAATTTCACGACGAGATTGAGTGACTCGTACACAGCGATGTTGCTATACCTTTTCTCACGGACCGTGAGGACATCGTTTGGGGATGGAAGGGAGGCGTGACGCCGGAAGAAGGATGTCTCGCGAAAGTCGACTTCTGCGCGTCGAATGTCTGGCAGCGAGGAAATTTCGATGCTGAACGTATCCGCCTTGTCAGTCGACATTGCGGAGGGCGGGCGACCGCAAGAGTGTATTCATCAATGTTGGCTGGTTGGTGAAGGCTGAGACTTGTCGGGAGGAAATGCTGACGAGTATCACGTGCCTTTAGCTTGCGCAGCCAATGGCTGGGGAGATCCGAATCAGTGCACTTTTAATTACTAGGCGCCGCCGTTTCTGTATGTAGAATATCCGTAATTATGTACTGTTCATATTCCACATATGAGTAATAATGCAACGCCCAATTAAGGGGGTCAGCCGAATCAACGCATGACTGCCCCCTTTCATAGGTATCGCCTCCTTAGCAGTAGGGCGCATGAAGGAACTGAGTCAGGTACAGGGACTTCTTAATGGCCCGATTTACTAGTGAATTAGGGCCACAAGGGGTATCTGTATCTAATAAAGGACCCCTTGCGTCCCTGTAGATAGCTCGTAACATGCATCACTATTTCACCCCTTTGAGACCCCTTTTTTCTCCTTTCGTTCATGTCGCTGACTGTACTGTATTCGTACGCGCCCAAATGTATCTACATACCTACCTAATTTGGGAGGACCTCCGACTTAACCTACATTAATGCGTTTCGAGAGGTAACACTCTAATCTATTTCGTGCAATAGCTGAGCATACTCAAAGTCCTAGTCCAAGGATTCGTTCAAAGATGCCGCCGGGGGCGCCAATCATTTCCTTGCAGACAATACACAGCTGTAGGTTGATGTGACGTTGGCATACATAATCCCCACCATGGTGCAGCTGGGAAGCGCATGCAGCGCTCTTGCCATTCGCCTGTTGGTTTTTCAACGGTGTAAGTCAGAAACTAGCCTCCGTTTGGAGCTACTTGCAGGCTTGAAACTGTAGTTGCTTGCGTTTGAACTGGGCACATCACTCTAGACTTAAAAATACCCATGGGTATTTGCTTATGGGCTACCCATACCTACCCACGGGCTATTTTGGGGCCACCATAAATACTTAGTAGGTAGGTAAATTTAAAATAGGTACCTAAAAATATATATAGGTATATTCGGGCTACCTATAGGCATTACCTATTTAGTTTTATTATACTAATCGTTTATACTTATCTTAATATAAGGCACCTATAAAATATATATAGGCTATATAGCTAAAAGTAATATTAAATTAAAGGATAAGATCCTATAGATATTATTTATTCTCTACCTTAACTATCCTTTTAATATTTAAAGTCCTATCGTCGCGGTCGAATATTCTCCCTATATCTAGTTCTCTTTATAGAGGAGGCGACTATTGCCTCTATTACTATACGGCCTTTTCGCTTTTTCTTACGGCTTTAAACTTATTCTTCCTAATAAGAGTTACTTTCCTTTATCTCCTCTACTTCCCCTATCTCCTCTACTTCCTCTATCTCCTCTACTTCCTCTAACTCGTTATTACTTAGTAAAGTAATATTAATTATATCGCGATACTTATCTCTCCCTTACTAGCTTTACGTTTATATCTAGAGAGAGTCTATAAAAAGCTTTTATTAGATAATACCTATAGGCTATAGGTAAGTATAAAATCTCTTACTTTAATCTTAATCTTTTTTATATAGTATTATAGCCTCTTTATTAAGACGAATTCTACTAAAAGGATTTCTATTTCTAGGAGTATAAGATATCTTTAGAGCTATATTAAGCTTATATAGCTAATCTTTATACTCTTTTATAGGGTTAATACTATTATTAATCTTTATATCTTAAAGAAAGATACTATCCTATACATTAAATCGAGACTATAGGATCGATAGCGTAAATCTCGCCTCTAAGTTTAAGAGTTTCGTCTTAGATCGCTAGTATATATTAATCTACCGGTAAATGCTCTAAGCGCGCTTAAGCGGCACGCTACTTAGTTATATTGCTAGAAATTCTCGTGCTATAATATAAATATTCTTATACCTTTTATACTAAGATATACGGCGCTAAAAGCTATATATATCCTTAGATAGTAACCTCCCTAGCTAAGATTAGTATATTACTTATATATTAATATAAATAAATAAAAACTTACTCTTTTTAAAAAAAAGCCCTATAGACCGAAATACCTTTATTACCTTATAAACTCCCTTAATATATAATTAGTATAAATAACTACTATAAATTATTATACTATTTACCTTTATTAGACTAAGAAACTAGGTAAGCTAGTCCTTATAGGAGTTAAGAGTAATATTAGTATTAAAGGATTATACTAATAACTATAAGAATCGTTATTAGTAATAGGAAATAAATATATCTTTATAAGTCCTCTATACTTACTTAGAACTAAGTAGATTAGCTTTAGTCTCTTTCTTTAGTAAAATAGGTAATCCTACCTAACGAATATTAAGCTTACTAATACTTAATAGGGGCGTAAGTAAGGTAGTAAATATATATACTTCCTTTTCCTCTTAAAGGTAGTTAATATACTTAGTAAGCTTTTTCTCTATATTATTAATTACTATTATTAGTATACTTTACTAGTTATTGCTAGTATTATAAATATTAGTAATTTTAGTATAGGAGTAAAAGAGATACTTATAAATTATCTTTAGCGAGTTCTAAGATTCTTAGAGTATTATATATTTCCCTTAGCTAACGTTATTTATAAGCTATAGGAATATCTTCCTAATATTAATTAGGTAGTTAATTTACTCTTAATTCTTAGTAGATAAAGGTAGGTTAAGCTAGGTATTACTAGTAAGAAGTATATTAATTGCCTATTATAGCTCCTTAGCTTTCTTAAGCATTATAATAGTAGAGTTCTAGCGCGTAATAATATAACCGGGAATACTTAATAGTTATTTATCTAGTCGGACCTCTCGTTAGATATTAAAGAAAACCTTCGTTTACTTCGCGCTTCGATAGAGTATTAATACTAGTATATAGATCTAAGAGGGTTAATATAAAGATTAGTATATAAGTTATAGTATTCTAATTAGTATTAACTTACCTTTATTATTATTCCTAAGATACCGTTGCTTATACCTATAGGTAAGTTACTTAGTATATCCTTATTAGTACTTACTTCTTCCCTATTATAGTTATCTTATAGAGTTCCTATTATATAAGAATAACTCTATATAACTAGTTTCTACTTTGCCTTAATCTTAATAAGCTTTTTATAATCTAGTATCTTAGATATAAGAAGGTTAAGAATATATACGATATATCGTATATAGTAAATCGTACTTAGTATATTAATCCCTAGATATAAGTTAAGTTTCCTTTATAAGTCTCCTAAATAAAGATATATACTATTATTAGTAGTAATACTTTTAAATCGATTTAAAATATAACGCCTTTTGTGGGTAGGCACCTGCGGCAGCTGCTGCAATGAGACGGTACTAGGGTTAACCTGTGATGTTGTATTCGTCTTGATTCTCTATCTAAGGAGGCAGAGGCCAGCGTGGAGAAAGGGGGCACGCTGCCCTCAGCCGCACACGTGACCGTACGGGTCACGTGCCAACCATGGTTGGTCACACCACTAGATAGATACATTCCTACACAGGCAACTCTTCTTTGCTGTGAGAAGCACAGCAACACCTTGAACGGGTCTAAAGGATAGTAGCGTTAAGGCCGTGAAGGAATGTGCCGTGAGGGGCGTGTCATTATTGCCAAAAGTGGGTCCGACGTCTTGTTCTTAGCTGTAGATATCTGGGAAGAAGTGAAGGGTCTTCCTGATAGGAGCAATCATTTGATCATAGGTATAAGGAGCGGTTAGGAACGTTGTACGTATCCTTCGACTCGAATTGTCAGACTATTGGTATCGATGAAGCGTTCCAGGGCTCGGTTTGGTGATGCTTTCGTCATTGCATCTGCTGGGTTGTCTGCGCCGTTGATCCAACGAATATCTGTTATCTCTCTCTTCTCGTATGACTGGCGAAGGGCCATGATATCAATCATCAATCGTTTTTCCTTCGTCGTACCGAGCTTGACTAGGCATTCGTAGAGAGAGTACGAATCCGTACAGACGATGAGAGGGATAGGAGGAAGGTTGAGTCGTTCCGTAATTATCTTCATAGTCATCGCAAGGAGATGCCTATGTCGAATCCGTTGGCCATACCGTAGATCTCTGATGCTAGGACGCTACGGGTAACACGTTTGCACTTTGTTGAACTCCAGTGTACGATGTTACCACTAATCTCGAACTGTTTTTCTTTGTGGTTTGTCTCGTTAACGAGGGTAATGACGAATCCTAGTTGGGAGGATAAGTCCTTGTTGTTTGCGAAAGAACCATCGGTGAAAACCATCAGCTTTGCAGTAGCTAGATCAATTGGTTTGTACGTGAGGCCACGTAGTTGGTGATCCATTTGCCATTGCAGTCGCTTGTTCAAAATTGCGTAATCTTTATCCTCAGGGTCTGTACTTGGGCGGCGACTGAAACATCGAAAGAAGCTTCCGGTTGAGCAATTGAAGCAATGTATGAGGCTCGCGCTCGTTCCTCAACGTAGCGCTGGTGACGATCAATTGCTTTAGGGTCAATGGTGGTCATTTTTGCTGCTTGTCCCTTCTGTTGAAGTAAAAGGATCCTTTCTTAAGGGGTTATTATTCAGCAACGTCAGTCTTGCACCATTAAAGTCAACCGTTGTTCCGTATGTGATGTCAGTCTTGGGCTTGGAACGAAATTCTGCCTTTGTAGCTCTTCTTCTTCACGGGTAGAAAAGTTGTTCGTTCCAAGGATGAGGGTGTCATCAGTTTGCATTCCAACAATACCGAGCGTGTCAGGGCCAGTATTCGAAATCAGTAGGCAGGAGTCATAGGTGGAGGTAGACATATCCAGCTTTTCGAGGTGATGCTGCTGATATGTGCGGAACCAATGGACTCCGGCTTCTGCGATACCGTACAGGGGCTTAATAACACGAATAATTGTTCTGTTAGGTATTTGCCTTGTAGTTCCGTGGGCAAATACGTAAGAATGGTCCGGAAAGCTTGGTCTGGGATTGCGGGTATGCCTGAGTGATATCACGGAGGAGAGGGTTATGCCGTAGTTTTGAAGAAGTCCGGGGCAATAGCGA